ATATACTCCAAGGCACAGGTGTAGGGATCAAACTCTTCAGGTTCTCACCGTTTGTGATGACGAGGAAACTGAGGAGAGAGGTGAGAGAGATGGATGACAAGCGGCATCTGGATGTGGCGGAGGACTCTCTGAATTCAGTAGTATGATTCACTTTGAATCATACGATAAAAGTGAAGGAGAAAATAACAAGCATGGAGGTGTTAGTTTTGATTGATAGTGGGGCTACCCATAATTTCATTTTTCACTCAGGTCGTCAATCAAGTGAGAGTGAAATTGGTGTACACCGGTTATTATGGGGTCATGATGAGTACAAGAAAGGTAGAGAAAGGCCAAGGGATCTGTAGAGGAGTGGTGTTGACCATCCAAGGGATTCAGGCAAGGAAGGATTTTCTCTCACTAGAGTTAGGAAGTATTGATGTCAACCTGGGGATGAAGTGGTTACAAACTTTGGGGGAAACCAAGGACAATTTGGGAGTACTCACGATGGAATTAATGGTGGATGGGAGAAAGATGGTTATAAGGGGAGATGCAGGGCTATTCAAAGCCATGGTATCACTTAAGACTATGGTTAGGAGCATACAAGAGGTGGAGAAAGATTATCTGGTGGAACTACACAAGCTGGATGTGATCAAGATGGAGGGAGGGGATGTTTCTCTTTCAGTGCACCCCTTGACTCAACAATTTTGGTAAGATTTTTCAGCCACCTCTAAGATGGCCACCCCTATGGGAACACGAGTATATCTCCACCTTGAGGATAAGGTGGATCTTTAGGAGGAGAGTATTGTTAGACGGGTCCATTGGACCAGTTTAGCCGGTCCACATGGGATCCGCCTAGTGTAACAGAGGTGGAACTTCTCTGCCTCTTGCGCATGCCGCGTGAGATGCCAAAGCCAACGGAGCATTTTAGGAATGCTTTTTGAAGGATTTGGGAGGGAAATTTAAATGTAGGGACTGTTTAGGGATTTCCTTATTATTTGTATGCATTAATACTTTATTTTCCTAGGGTTACAACATCTTGAATTTGGCTGATTTTGGGATCTCTTAGGTTTAGGTTTTGGGTTTTGGATTCTTCTAGGGATTGGGAGAGATCGATCCTCATCTCGAATAGAGGATCACTTGTATCTTGTTGTTTTCTTGCGATCTATATGATTCTTGCAATAAAATTACTATTTTTCTAGTTTTCTTTTGGAGTTTGGAAGAGTTTCTCGTGGATTTTCTGAAATTGATAGGATTTATTTGAAATCATCAAGTGTTTCCTATCAAAATTATAGGGATGACCAAGATAGTTATGCAAAAATAAGGTTGAGGGATATCGAACAATGAGAGCTGATGGAGAAGATGCAAACTAATTACAGGATACTCGATAGATTCCATTATGCCTTCGACCCATTGGGAATGATTTGGTTGGTTTAGTTGTCCTTAATGGTGAATCTAGTTACATCAAAGGACAAAATATATTTATTATCAAATGTTAGTTTGTTGATAGAGAGGAGATTGTGAGAGAGTATAGGAACATGTAAAAGATTGTGAAGAAGAAGCTTATAGTTTGGATTTAGTGTGGGTAATATGTCGTGGCCTCGATCTAGTGGTAATTGGAAGAGAGGTTCCATTATTTACCATAATCTCTTATGTTTCATGGCATGGCACAAGATCTTACAGATGTAGTTCGGTAGTCAGATGAGCTACTATGTCACTATCAAGATACCAATCATTGGTTGTAGGTTATTACTGAGTGAAAAGAATAGTAATAGCTATAGTAGTTTGCGGTAAGTTTTGTTGAGGATTGTAGCAGTGCTGGCATGTTATAGTTGAGTGTCACTTTTCACAGATTTGGCATATGAGGGGTAGAGTGGAGTTCCGATCTCCTCTTGGAATTGTGGAGGCTCCATGATGATCTGGAAATAAATTGATCCTACCACGCCCCTTGCAAGTGTAGGAAAAGTGTCCTATGGTTGTTGACAGAGCAACAAAAAATTCTTCTATGCATAACTCCACTTACTCATTGTTTATGTTAATTTTCACACTACATAACAATGTGTACAGATCATCTAGGCTTATCAGGGTGAGTTCTATGGCTACTGCTACTTTTACTTTGAAGGGGGAAAAAAATCAAAATGATTACCAACTATATTAAATTATCATTTTGGTCCCTCAAATCCTTAAAATTGAATAAAAAATAGTCCTATGATGAGACTATTTTGGTTCTTCTTTAAGGTGTTGATGGACCAAAATAGCTTTTTAATATAGTTGTGTACTATTTTGGTCTTTCATAAAGAGTCAAGAGATCATTTTGATCCTTTTCTCATTTTGAAGGCTTGATAGAAAGGGAAAAGTTCATTTAGGATATAGATTATAATATCTTCAATGTTTATGTGATTCAACTACTGCGATATTATCAACTAGGGATTTGATGGAAGATAAATATTATTTCATTGTTTAATTTTTCACATAGATATTATGGAATTCATTTTTGAGTTGTATATCTCTTGACCAATTGGTTGGTTCCAGGCACTTTTTTATTGTTGTTGATATCTCAAAATAATGATTGGGGTTGAGAGTATAGGGAAGAATGGATGCAGCGATAGTGGAGCGAAGGGAAACAACTAGGCTTTGGTCAAGGAGTTACAAGGTATTGTAATCAGGATTTATAGAGATTTCACCTGCATGATTTATGATCTGCTTGGCAGATAGATGTTTTTTCCGTTGACAAACCTTTCGAAGCTATATATGGTGAACGTTTTGAGGATCCAGTCTCCAGATTGCACAGTTTTTACCTGTGAGCTGAATATTAACTGTGTTTGAGATTTGACATCAGGATTCTCAAAGGTAGAGGAATGTAAATGTCACCCATTTTATGAGAGGAGAGCTTCATGTGATATTGGTGGAAGGAATTGAAGAATCATCCATAGTTAAAGAATGGGAGGAAGAAAATGAGTTAAGCACTGTTAAGCAAAAATCTGATACCATGAAGTAAGTAAGTTGCATAGTTAGATAATTGGAGAAGAGAGATAACATGAATACAAAAAGAGCTAGAGAAAGTATTTGATTTCATTCATCTTCTAAGACCCATACAATGCTGTAGTTGAATACATATACAGGTAAGAGAAACAACTTATGTGCTAGCAGCAAATTTGGTTTCAGCGTGATAGTGAGGATTGACTATTCTGTTAGAGATCAGAGGTTGTGATTAACCTGCAGAGGATGGTGGCTGCACGTCATGCATAGGGGGAAGAGAGAGGGTGCTTTATCATAACTAATTTTTCACAGCACATATCCCTTATGGTTCTAAAAGATGGGGGACTTGGGCTTTTGAAAATCAGGTATGCGTTCTGAAATCTTTGGAAAGATCATGTTCGAAAAATTGGTAATAGATAAATCAGTGGTTTAGAGGTTTAAAGATTTATGTTCTTGATATTTTTCCCTATTCTATGGGAGTTTGTTGAAGGGTTAATCAACAAATCAACTCAAGCATAAAATGAAAACTATGAAACTTGCAAGGAACAAATCTGAAGGTTCCCTTTTATAAATTCTCAGTAAATTACCATTTATGGCAGGAATGACGGGAAGAAGATGAAGATATTTTTTAGTATATCAACAAGTGAAAACAATTTGTATTTATAAAAGTTGAATGACCACTGATCTTCTCCTTGGAGAAGAGATGCAGCATTTTGTAAAATTAGAGGCACAAATGAAATGTTATTTTAACATAATAGACACCACCCGTATACGGGTGCCTTCTGTCAAAATAAAAAGCTAAAAACTAACTTTGAACATAGGTCATCCGTTTTGATTAGCTGCTCCTGCGTAAAATTGCCAAGTGTGAAGCAACATAAAAATAACTGTCCAATTCCTTCCACAATTTCATTTTGATTTTAATGGACTTCTCTTTCTTATATACACAAGGGGCCGACATCCATTCTAAATTTGCGAGATTATTTTGAGCCTCTTTTTCCTATTGACATATCAACCTAAAATCATATATATTCCGAAAGATCTTTCTCGTAGAGCGGGGGTTAAGAAACTGGCGAATAAAATCATGCATTATTATACATTAATCACTTTTTTGTAGTAGTCATTACACCAGCCAAAATCATGAAGTCTTGAATTTCTTTCATGTGGGCTTGGAATATGCAACGGAGGATAATATCCTTGATTTTCCTGTGAATGAAAGTTTGTGGCACCTGAGTTTAAAATAAATCATGTGATTAAGATCTTATTAGTTTTACAGAATTCTTGATCTTTGAAGTGTAGAAACATCAAATTAGCTTTATGCATGGAGAATTCTACTTGAGTCATGAGCACATGAATAGCGTAAGCATGGAAGAGCTCATTTGTTTTGACCAGGACTATAAGAAGTCCCTACATTTTTTGAGAACGCACAATTAGGTTCCCATCTTCTGATTCCTTACACATTACGTACTTTCCATTAATAATTGCGATAATTTAATCAAACTATCGTTATAAACACATTTTATTCCCATTATTTTCAAAATTTGCATTTGGATCTCTCGCATGGGAGGCGCTCAATATTGTTGAGCACCTTAGCTCTGGGCAAATTGAGATATTTGGTTCGTGAGTACTTGGTGCTCGTCTTTGCAGTACTTTGTTTTGGAACTAATTATGCTTTCCCAAATGCATCTATCTACCCATAGTTTGAATAGAACTTTTTATTTTTAATGTTATAGTTTTCACAGTTTATCAGGGCATGTTCTAGATGTCAAAATTCTAAATTATTGATGAGTGCTGTATTGAGATTTAGGTTTCGTTTGTGGCAGTTTTTTTATTGCTTTTTAAAGTAACTTTTCAGTGCAAAAACAAAAAAATGTGTACTATAAAGCCGCTTTAGAAAGCAAAAAAGCTGTCCCAAATGAATTCTCAATTAGTAGCCGGCAAAAAAAAAAAAAAAATTATAGCACGGTATTTTGGTTCTTTTTGACCTTTTATCTTCTTTAACACTGATTTACTTTATTTTTCCTACTTTTCTTAATGGGTGAAAATAGGTTGAAGATCTTAAGGAAGCAGCAAAATCTATTCCAACGTTGCAATCTATGCTTGAATTAGACATCAAGAGCAATTGCATAAGGCAAGGTGGGAGTCATTCACGAAACCTTCTTCGAGTGAAGCGTGGAATTGACATGGTCAAGGTGCTTTTTGAGGAAATTCTCGTAGCCGAGTACGTTAAAGTTAACCTTGTGATTACTGAATATCTACTTCATATTATTTCATTAATGATTGCCACAAAACCTTTATAATGTTTACTTATCTTCTTTATTGTTTTATTACACATTCACTATTAATACTCTCATTTTTTCCTTTCTCTTCGGTTGTGACCTCTTGGTTGCCCAACACTGATTTATGTTGCACAAGAGCTTTATCGCAGTTTTATAAAATCTATATGCATACGTGTTCTGTTTTTATATGTTTAAGTATACATGATGTTAGATTCTTGTATATTGCCACTAATACTTCTTCATTTAACTCTTTAAATTTTATGTTAGAAGTTCTGTCCTTTTTTATGTCATATCTTATTTAAATTATTTTTTTAGAGCCCTTTCATATAAGTTGGGTGAATCACGTTCCTACAAGTCACCAGTAGATGTTTGATGCCCATAGAATGAGGAATTAAATTATGAAGATCAAATGTGATGTGATGAACTTCTATGGATATAACATATAGGGGTGTACATAAACCGAGCTGGCTCGAACTCGACTCGATAACAAGCTCGTGAGTCGAGCTTATTGAGGTTCGAGTTGGAGCTCGTATATTAAACGAGCTCTAGTTCAAGCTTGATGAGACTAGATTCGTAGGCTCACGAGTAAGGTTGTAAGTTAGCTGAGCCGACTTGAACTCGACTCGATAACAAGCTCGTGAGTCGAGCTTATCGAGCTTTGAGATTAAGCTCGAGCTCAAACTCGAGCTCGTATATTAAACGAGTCGAGTTCGAGCTTGATGAGACTCAACTCGTAGGCTCGCGAACTCAACTTGATTACATTGATGTTTAAAAAATATATAAAAAGTTGTATTATTAAAAAAAAATATTTAATTTTTTCTCTGCATAGTAAAAAAAATGCAAAACTTTAATTCCATTTAATGCAATAAATGCATTTTTTTTGGAAAAAGATGTTGTTCTGCTTTCTAAAACAGGTCATTAATTATTTTTTTAATAATCCTCCTGATCTTCTTCCAATAGAAAAGCCTATTGTCCAGTTAATGCAGCTGTCAACGGCTGTTTTATTGGGAAAGCTGCTGTCTTGCTTTCTGTTAAATCTCAGCCTTCCGTTGCTAAACTGATCCCACGGCCATGAACAGTGATCCGTGGGAAGCCCGTCTGTATAATGTTGAATATCTTTCATAACTAGATAACTAATTTAAGAAGGATTGTATTACTCTTTATTGTGTAGTAATTTGTTTCTTTATATAACCATCTTGTATAGACTATAAATAGGGATAATGTTGAATAAAGTGATAAGTTTTTTCCTCTCAAACTTATTATTTAACACTTTAAAAATATCATTAATTATTATTATTATTTTTAAAAACCTCCTGCTTTCAATAAAATTTTCTCCTCTAAAGCCCTCAGCCAAGCCTGCCTCCAGTGAGCTAAGCTGATGAGTTAATGTCCCGAGCAACCTCCTCCGTTGTGAGCAACCTCCTCCGTTGTGGCCCGTCTAAGTCGACCAGGCATTCCAACTTCTCCAAGCCAAATAAATGAGCTGAGCTCAAGCTTTCTAAGTGAGCTCGATTACTCGAGCCGAGTTCGAGCTTCATATTTCTTAATTGAGTCGCACTCGAGTATTGAAACCGAGCTCGAGTCATGCTCGAGCTCACTAACAAGTAAACGAGTTTGGTTCGATAAGGTAGATACTTGACTCGACTCGCTTACACCCCTAATAGCATGCATCATGCTAGGAATTTTCTAGTTATTAAAAAATGTCATCCACTATGACAGATGTAAATAATCTATCTTTAAGTTCAAAGACAAGACTATCAAACTCATATAATAAAGCCTTCAAATAAGTCCAATCATCAACCCCACACAAGCTCACTTCAAACATCCAAACCAACCCAATGCAAAAGAAGAATGCAAAGATAATTTGATTATGATTGGACCCCCTTAATGCTAGGGAGGCTATGTGTGACGCTGATCCTAGCTCGAATGAATGGGAGAGTATTCATTTAGAGCAAGTTTTGAACAACACCACCATATGCAGTCAAAATAAGTGTAGAATTCATGAAGTTAACCCCAAATGTTTAGGATAAGACTAATGATGACACTGATGAGTAATTTAACACAAGTTCTGAACTTTAATCTATACTCCTTTGTGTCGTTGCTTATCCATTTCCCTTTATGTATTAGTGGGAACTCTCTGAAGGATCCTGCATCTGTAGCTTATTCCAAAGTTTTAGCCCCTCATCATGGGTGGGCAATTAGAAAGGCAGTTTCTGCAGGAATGTATGCCCTCCCCTCAAAATCGCAACTTCTGAAGAAGTTAAATGAAGATGGTAAGTTTTAATTATCGTATTCGATGTATATTATTGATTCTATCTTGATTGCTCTGTCCTGTTTAATTGTTGCAGAGGAATCATCTAGAATTGAGATGCAGAAATACATAACGTCGTCTGGTCCTGTCATTCAATACGTTGAAGAACTTTTCATCTCTCGAGAGCTGGGCATAGATTGGTGACAAAATTCTTGAAATTATGTTTTAAATTGCAAATCTTTGCTTTTTTTTCCCTTTCGATCCTTCTGGGCTTACGTAATTGATGCAGATGCAGGACTGAGAATCTGACATTCTGATTAGAAAACTTTGTGAGATTATACTTATATAAAAATTAAATAATTAAGTCGAAGTAAATATATTAATGCTTTATGTAAAAGCAATTAATGTTAAGCCCATCAAAAGTGCTGCTTACATACTTTTTGGGTGAGACATCTCAAAAATTCTTTGTAATTTATATAATATTTAATTTTTATTGATTTTTATGATCTGATAGCCTTTATTATGTTACATATGTACCATGATGTCTGAGAATATTAGTGTGTTGACAAAACATATTATCTGTACAATCTCATTGAGGCAAGAATGTCTTGACAGAATAATATAGGTTGAGAGGATAGCCTAGTTGGAGACTTGTGAAATGGTGGAGGGCATTCCAGTTATTGAGGGAGCTCCAAAATGAACCCTTCGAATCAGTGCCTTTTTTTAGATTTGAATATAGAGTGATTGGTTCAAACTCTCTAGGAGGATATCAAACTTTTTTTCCTAGATAAATATCAAAATGCCAAGGTTGGATATCAATTTTATTGTCATAGGTTGAACATGAGGAAGAATATAAGATCCATTAAGTAGAATATCATAAAGACAACAATCATCTTGGCTGAAGCTGTAAGGTGACAGGTCCAAAGGCTCATTGTGGTTGGAATTATGCAAAATATTTAGTATCTCCATTAAATTTCAGATGTCGTAATGGTACAAAAATCCAGTGGCAAGTAGATGATGTGTGTAAACTTTTCCAATTTAAAGTAGGTTTGCTTAAATGACATCGGGTACTTGCTTGAATTGACGCATCTAATATCTCGATTGAATTTCAAATATGGCAAATGTACAAAAATTGAGTGGCAAGTGGAGGATATGTGTAGGCTTTGCCAATTTTAAATTGGCTTACTTAAAGGACATTTGTCTATTCCCTTGAATTGACCCATCAATCAACTCAAAGGTTAGCTTCTCGATGATGAGTTTTTTGACACCTTTTTTGGCTATAAAAATCAAAATACACCTTGTTGATAATGAGAAGACATCTTTCGTCAGGGAGAAAGGTCAATTTTTATATAGAGTGATGCTATTTAGCTTCAAAAATGTTGGACCCACCTAGTAAAATGTAATTGGTTACATGTTCAACTATTAGAAGGTGAGGAACATGAAAATATATATGTTAATGACCTACTAGTGAAGTGCAATACCTTGGAATAATACATCTTGGATTTGAAGAAGACCTTTGCAACACATAAGAAATATAGCATGTATCTTAACTCTTTGAAGTTCACCTTTGGAGTAGGATTGAAGAAGTTCTTAAGATTTTTACTTACCGAAGTAGGCATCAAAGTAAATTTAGATAAGGTAAAGGTAATATATGAAATCCCTTCCCACAGAAGTGCAATGAAAGTGCAATAACTAACAAAGAGAGTCATAGGGTTGGGTTGCTTTATTTCAAAATCAGATGATAGGTGCTCAATCTTCTTTAAAATTTTGAGGAACACAAAACACTTCACATGGAGTAAGGAGTGTGAGGATACATTTCGATATTTAAAATAGTTCTTCTGTCTCACCTCCATTATTGTAAAGTTTGCAACCTTGGGAGGCCCTTCTCTAGTATCTTAGGGTAGGTGAAGATCCCATAAGGCTTATGTTAGTCCTGGGAGAGATAAGAAAGTGGATGATCTGTTATGTAAAGTCCTTCGAGGAGCTAAGCTAAGGAATCCAATCATAGAGAAATTGGCATGGACACTAATCATATCAACTTATTGAATTTCCTATTTTTTGGTGCACTCAATCCTAGTCATCACGGACCATCCATTAAAAAGCATATGATTGAGTGAAAACTTTACCTACATGTTGAGGACTAACATATAGGTAAAGACTATTAAAATGGGTGGTAAGACGGAATGAGTTTCAAGTTTCCTACATGTTGAGGACAATAATGAAGACACAAGCACCTATTGACTTCTTGGCTGACTTCACCATCCTAAAGAGAGAGGGAAATGCAATTAGAGAGGATTTGTTGTGTATTTATACATTGATGTGTGTTAGGAAAATAGGGATTCCGGATTGCCATAGTCTTAAAGGACTAATAGAAATCATACTAATACAAATAATTAGAATCGACTTTGGAGTCATGACAATTAGACTGAGTATAAGGCTATGATCATAGGGTTACACATCATGATCAGGGTTGGGGAGAACACTTAACCATGTTCTTAGATTCACAACTCATGAAGAATCAAGTGAAGAGACAATTTAAAGTTTACTAAGATGTCTCTTCAAAGTGAAGATAGAGATCAATTGACTGATTTGAGTATTTCAAAATTAAGCGATTCTTGACAACGTAAAATGAGCTTGTCGGCCTAATCTCTAAATTGGGAACTTTTATAAGTCATTAGTTCTTGAATTATCACTTTCATGTATCAAAAGCTGGTAGTGATGGGTGTTAGAGATGGGATCCGATGAGTTGGGTAGATTCATTTATTGGGTATTTGAAGACATTGAAAATAATTCTTTATGTTACTAACTAGGGGAGATTCAAGGTCAAGGTTGCCCAATGTTGACTCATAAACAATGAGTTATTTAGGAGGATAGTCACCTTGATGAACTTTAGGTGTTTATGTGAAAATGAAGTATAAAAAATTCTTGTGAAGTTTATTCGTGAAAATGTGCCTATAGGGTGGAAAATTTTTGGCACAAAAAATCCTAAGGCAGAGGTACTTTTGGTCAACCTCAAGAAGAATGTGGAAGAATTTTTCAAGAAATTTTTATTATATAAAAATTCTTCTCTAATGTTACTACAATCCTCTCATAAGTAGCAACCAATATTTAGCCTAAGGGCATTTTGTAGTATGGGGAATGACTTGATTGGGTTGCTTTCCCCATCTATCATGCAAAATAAGTTTATTTTATTTTATTTTTTATTTTATTATTAGTTTATTCTAGTAATGGTTTATTATTTCATGAAGTGCAAATAAATATTTTTGACAAAGACTATTACATAACTAATTAGCAACTTCCTCTAGTTTGACATCATTTTTTAATATTGTCTCTTGACGGAAACACTTGCAAGCAATAAGCCTCAATTCTCAAATAAAAAGATCAAATATTTTGCCAAGTTCTGAGGATTCGCTCAAATTCATCTTAGTTCACCATTCATAAACTGACAATTAGGTAGACATGGTGATTAAGTTAATTTTGAACCTCTTAAGGAAGAAGGTTGAAAGAGCCAAAGGCAAGTGGACTAGAATATTTCCATCTATTCTATGGGCCTTGAGAATATCACCATTCTCTATAACTAGCCAACCTCCCTTTGCATTGTCCCATAAGATGATGCCCTATCCCTAGTCAAATATGAATCGCATAACTAATAAGTGGTGGCATCTTCAAATTTTGAAGAGGGAGAGTTAACTAAATGGGGGAGAGAAGAACAAAGAAGACATGCAAAAAATCATGAATTTATTGAAGGAACTCTAAGTTTTGGCATCAATGAAGCAAGAGGAAGTCAAAAGGAGTTTAGTTAGATACTATAATTTGAATGTTATAAAGAAGGAGACATTATTCTATGTGGATTCAGGATCATTCGGAGGCGAATCAAAGTGCGTCATGTCACCTGACAAACAACAGTACCTAGCAAATGGGTGATGTGGCACACTATGATTCGCCTCTGGACGGCGTCCGGAATTTACACAAAATAATTAATCTGAAAGGAGACATTCCATGCCGTGGATTTAGTTTTGAGGAAGGCATATTCTAAAGCTCGACAATCGGCACTTGATAAATTGAGCTCTATCTAGGAAGGTTCTTATATCATCAAGAAGCCAATCAATCTTATATCCTACCAACTACATATATGCATACTGGGAATACCTTTCGGGGCTACCACGAGATAAGTGAATGGGAAGGCACAAGGAAGACCTCGATCTACTTACCAAGCACACACTTGTCCCTTCTCCGGCTACAAATAAGCCACTTGGCAATGATGCCTCACAAGGCTAGAAGAGGTTTACATCGCTCGTGACCTAACAACGTGAGTCATTTCAATTGCTGATGCATGAAGCAAAAACTACTTATTTGTTTTGTTAGAAAACCCCACTTAATGCCTTGCAAACGAATGAAAAGAAAAACGAAGCGTTTCACTGGCGTAAGTGAAAGCGATAGTTTTTCTTTTTCCAAAATCAAATTGGCGTAAGCCAATCCCTAATGTAATGTAGTTTTTTTACTGGGTTATGGGTACTGGTGGGTATTTTACCAAAGGTTTTTATCAATCTACCTTATGTGATTCTTATTGAATCCTATACTCGGGGGGTGCGCGCAGGGCAGACAATTTCCAAACGGACTATTATAGCGAAGATCACCAAGATTTCGTGATCCGCTGCCGATTCCAACAGCTCGGACTCGGATCGTGAGGATCGCCGGAATACTTCGTATCAACAGATAAGATACTCGTCAATATTGATTAGATCCGAAATCTGTTATGGAATTGCTCATTAAATTAGCAAGGAAATGTTGAGGATGTGGAGTGGCAATGGCCTGAAGATTTTTTATTCTGTAAAAAAAAAACCTTTGTCTTTTGCATCAAAACTCTATCTTGTTTGTAATTCAAATTTAAATAGTTATAAGAAACAAAAAAGAAAGAAATCTTTTATTTTGAGAAACCAAATCAGTTCAGTAAGGATCCTTTGAATAGGCTTGCTAAGCTACTTTCATTATAAGTGTGTTTTTAAAACATTAAAAACCAATTTATCTTAATAATTAATAATTCCCAAAATACTAAAAAATCTGAAAAATATTCAAAATCATGAAAAATACTCTTACTATCTTTTTAAAGTATTTGATGTAGTTTTCGCCCTTTGGTGGAATTTAAGCACAATTATTATATTATTAATATTTTAATAATTTAAAAATTTCCAAAAAATCTAAAAAATTTGAAAAGTTCTAAAACATCAAAAGTACTTAAAATAAACGAATTAACTATTATATGACATGAATCATTCTTTGATGAATCATGTTCATCAGTGTTGTTCATAAATCCCTTAATTTATAATTTCTTAAAACATCAATTATCACTAAAAAAATTATAAAATCAACTCAAATAAAACTGACTATGTGGTGCCATAAACCATTCATTTGTTGTAGTTCAATCTTTGTAGTCCTTAATGATTAATATGTCTAATTATGATAAATTATTGAATAATAAAATAATAATAATAATAATTTATAATATTT